GTTTCATAATATTAAAACTCAGTAGTTCAGTGATTACAATACTAATGATTGTATTTTGATGTTTTACTGTAAAATTGTCTTAATACTGCTCTATTGTTGTAATATTATGCAGTTTAGTGTCAATAATTGTATTGGCAATGTGGCCTCTTTCTGCACACATACAAACCAACTCCTGCCACCACACTCTGCCACAGCTCCATTGGTCTAATGGTCTGTGTCATGGTCTTTCATGTGGGAGATCAGGGTTCAAAACCCAGCTAATGCAACTTTAAGAAAAAATCTCTTCAAACTTCATATTGTCACAATTACCTTAATTACAAACACCTGCTCAAGTGACAGCCACAAGCTCGTATAGAAAACACATTTGAACTTGGTCCCATTTCATTCTGCAAGTCCAATGCTGCAGGCAAAGCCATGCTACAATGACATGCTACATGGCAATGCACACTTGTTTTTACATCGTAAAAACCCATGTCTAGTTCACACTGAAATCCACACAGCAGCTGCTGTCAGTGAAACTGTAAATAAGATAAAATTACACTTAGTCTTTTTTAATATGCATATAAAGACACATTTTTAAAAATACATTGGATCATCATAACTCATTTTAACAAATCACAAATAAAACTGTGCTGAATCTAAATTAGCAAATAATACAACGTAAACCACATTTAATTTACTTTTTAAAACACTAGAATCGATAACACATCACTATTAATCTATATTGTGCAAGAAACAAGCATTAGCATTGTACAAAATAGCTGCTAATATGCTATCTAAAAACCACTAGCATAATGTTAAATTATTCAGAACAATGATGCAGGAAAAACATTTTCTCAGTGGTTTACAACACACAAAATAAAATATACCATTACAAAAAGTCTTAATATTGCTAAAATGAAACAACTTACCATGTTGGGCGCTGTACTTAACTGTAAATGTGGAAGATTTAAAGACGGTTCAATCCGGCATTCGTGTAAAGTAACGTCCAGTTTTACCCACAGTAGCGCCCCCTAGTGGGATGGATGGACTCAATCCAACAACCCACCTCTACCAAAGATGCATTAAACTTTTTTCCTTTTTCAAAATAAAAGAAAAAGTGAATAATTACAAACTTTTTTTTTAAAAAGGAAAAAAGAAGAACAGAATTACACAGATTTAATTATTTAATTGTTTTTGCTTTGGTGATTTTATATACAAGCAAAACAATTAAAGAGGCTTTTTTCACAACCTCTGAGCAGACAGATATGAGTCTCTTTCTACTGACAGTGTTTAATTCAAATTTAATTACTCACTATTACCCAAAGTATAGAAACCTTGAATATTATTTTGAAAATGATTTTAAAAATAAGGTTAAAATAACACCTATTTGAAAATAGTACAACTTCAGAAAAGTACTGAATTTATGTTTGCAATATGTTTTTTTTAAATGTGCCTTAAAAATACACACTTTTACAAATACATACAAAGTATATTTAAAAAAGAAGTTATAAAG